CTCCTAAACAAACAAAACAAGATCAACCCTAAACTCATACTCAGCCCATTTGTATCCCGGTGCATTTACACCAATGCAAATAAAAATTTCTACGGCAGACAAACACAAGCCTCAGTGCCTTAAATTGTTTATACTCGAAATGGCACATCCCTACCTGAAATTGATTGACTCAACACGCCATAACGGAACATTTTATTTTTATTAAAAAAAAAAAAACTCAACACGCCACGGATCAAACTTTTTTATTAATCTCCCATAAAAGTAGTATTGCTATCTCAATTTGAAAAGAATATAAATACAAACATATACAATACAAATGCATGATACAAAATACAGGGTTTTTCAGTCTATTCCTTCCAAACTAAGCTTTAATAATTTCTTTCAAACCAAACGCAGCCTAATGATACCAACCATGAACAAATACACCCAACCAACTCTCCCAAAGGTCTCTAGTTCTTGAGGCATTCATTTAATTCCTTTGAAAATAAACAACACCTTTTAGGGACCATTTGATAACAGATGAACAGTCTTGTGTTGAGTTCTTCTCCACTCATTTGTCCCCCAGCCAGTCTTTTGCTTTGGGCCTTTTTTCCTTTTGAGGAATGTTAGCCCTTCGAAGGTTTTTTAGTTCTTCTGGTTCTGGCTTCTGGGTGGGAATCCGAATCGCTACAAGACAAAAAAGCCTGTATGCGCCCCCCCCCCCCGCCTTGCCATCCCCACATGCTACCATTCCAGGCAACTTTAATTTTCAGACCATAACGCTGAGGTTGTGCGTTGAGACTTGAGAGAGCCACCGATTCTGTAGGACCAACGCCAACCTGCTTTGGCTGGTTGCATGCACAGATTATGCAATTTCATTTTCTTTGATTCTTTCATCTCTTTCTCTCCCATGGTTTAAGACTCTACTCATAGTCGTCCTACTTGATATATACCGTAGCCTTCAACCGAACCTCAATCCTGGATCAATCTCTCTGATAGACCAGTTTTCTAAGCAAAATACTTATTAGGTTACTAAATTACCTTCGGAAACACCAAAAGATGAAAGGAAAAAGAAAAACATGATTTTTGATAACGTGGCTGCTGAATCTGAATGGGACAGGAGAAGGCTACAGAGTCTATGTCCATCGCTATTCTATTTGTATTGGGTGCCATTAAGTGTGGGGCTTTTCTGATACAAACCCAAAACTACAAAAAGGAGGAGGGGAAGAGCTAAACCGCCATGTGGGGTCTCAACGATACTGCACAGACAAGCAAACCGCAAAACGTGTTCAAGATTCAGTTCGATCCCCACTTTGTCGACCATCTCTTTTCTTTCTCTCGTCGTCTTCTTCTCCTCCCCCTCCTCTCTGCTTTTCCTCTTTTTGCCTTTTGCCCTATTTTTTTTCTTCTCTTTTGTTTTCTCTTGTTCGTCCATTCACCTGTTCATGCCTATCTGATTATCTATATTGTTTTTACTACTTTTTATTATTATTTGGAATTTTGGATGCGATGCAAGATGGAATACAATACAGTATTCCATTCATAAAACAAGAAAACAGAATCATCATAGCATGCCTGTCACCAATTTGCATGTGTTTGGAAAGCTGGAAACTGCTGGTGGCGAAGCGGAGATTTTCCTTTTTCCAGAACAAAGAATAATAACAAGAGTCAAACAAGGAATTTTTCGTTTTGGGTGTTAAAATTGGACACAGACCCTAAACACTTTTAACCGATTACAATCTACAAGCAACAAGCAATGGGGTGTCATAAATAAATTACTAGTCAGATCAGGCTCAGGGGCTTCGGATCAGCACACGAAAATGAATGTTATTTGTTTACTTATTTCTAGGAGCATTTCCGCTTAAGTAAGCAACCATTGGATACTACCTCAAAGAGAATGAATGACTGTTGCGTTGAGACATGTGGCTGTTGGAATCCATGAATATAACGTAAGGGATCAATGGCAGGCGTGAAGCTCTCATCTGATGGTTGCAGAGACTTGCAGTAAGTATTTTTTCCCAATGAGGCAATTTGTCAAACAAGAGAAGTGTATAGCAGGTATTAATTAAAAGGGAAAGAGTTTTGCAGACTCAACCCTACACACGCAAACGCAATCATCAAGCAATGCAATTGTCGTATAATATTGGACTCTGCCTTTGGCTTTGCTTTGTTTTTTTAACTTTCCAGTACTTTCCCTTCCACCACCACCGGTCCACGGTAAACCAAATCAGATATATTTCCTCTCATCCAGACCAGACCGGACCAGACCACCTGTCACAATGGACAATGGTCCCCCCTCCCCCAATTCCTCTTATCTTTGTTATTAATTAATTGATTGAAATAGAAAAGAAGTTGGTAACCGTGTCAGACAGTGAGGAAGAAAATCTAGATAGACAAGGGACCCAGAAATAAATCAATATTAATTAATACCATTGGAAGCTTAGTTGACAACAGTGAAAGACTTCCCGAATCCCCAACTCATTCTCAATGTGCTTGTTGAAGCATCAAAGTCTGGCACTCATTTTCTTTATCAAAAAGAAATATATATATTCATTTCCACTTAGCAGTGTGAGTGGCCAACCATTGTGAGGTAGGCTACATGTAGTAAAGAATTAACTATTTTGAATAAAACCGCAATTGTTCCTACTTCTTATAGGGGTGTTCATAAAAAAACCAAATACTGAATCAAAATCGGTAATTTGGACCGAAAGATCCTGTTGATTGGACCGGTCATTTTGGTTTTAGCATTTCATTTTATCAAATTTTTGTTTTTTTTATTAACCTATTAAATTCATTATACATATATATGTCATATTTTATTTATATAATTATAATATATATTATAAATATAAAATCCCAAAAAAAAAAACAAACCAATAAACCAATTGATTCGATTCAATTTCGATTTGGTATTTTAAAATCTGACGGTCCGGTTCGAAGTGGTTCATTAGTTTGGGGGAGGGGAAATCGGGTTTACTGATGCCCAAACATAAACAAGTACCACTACTAAGTACCCTGCCAGTGGTGCAGGAAAAAGCAGCAAGCTCGTACTGAGAAAAATAGGCAGAGGCTGGTTCCATCCGTATTTGAGAAAAGATCGGTTTACTGTTCATCCATTCAAACTCTAGAAAGTGCATGTCATGACCAGACGAGGATATCCACTATCGACTACCGTCGGATTAGAATCCAACTTAAATGATTTTCTTTTTTTTTCGAGGGTAAAATGCAAAAACCTCCCCCGAAGCTTCTTACAATAATAAAAATCTCCCTGATAAATACCTCTCTAAACTTATCAAAAATTCAACAAAAACCTCCCTTTCATCGCTAACCCAAACGGAAAACGTTAACGCTGATGTATCAAATTTTCTAAATACCCATTCTACACTTGTATAAATTATTTTACATACAATTTTGCTAAACTTCCCTTGATCTCAATCTCCCATCCCTAAACTCCATCGACTCAGCTTAAACGTTATGTCAGTGATATCTCTCTGGTTGTTTCAGCTTACTAAGAGAATATCCAGGGTTGGAAAAGGAAGGAAAAAGCAATGGCTAATCTTGAATCGAAAGTTAACAGACAAAGAAGAATGCAGGAATTAGTGGCACAACATGGCATTGAAAAGTAGCAGAACTCGAAGCAGCAGAGAATAAGCGAAAAGAGAAGCAGATGAAAGGAGGCAAGATGCTTAGTCAAATTTTGTCATCTAGAACATGAGAAAGGCTCTCTCGGATTGCTTTGATTGAGCCTGAGAAGGCACGTAGAGTTGAGGATGTTCTACTCAAATGGGTTAGATAGTTGAGAAGGTGTCTGAAGAAAGGCATTAACAATCAAACAGCAAAGAAAACCAAAATGACGATTCAGAGGCGATGGAGTGTTCTAGACCATGGGGACTGTAATTTCAGAATTTCTGCATTGTACTGCAGTATACTTCTCCGATTAAGCTTTGTATAGGAGTACTTATTTTAGGCCCATACCATACCAACAAGTATTTATGTGCATTCGGAAAGTAAGTCCCAAATCCGAATAAGTTTTGTTTTGTTTGGCAAGGGTAAATTACAAAAGATCCCTGGGTATTATAGGTTTAGTGAGAAGCGCTCCCTGGCCTTTTATTTGCAATAAAGACCCCCCTAAACTTTTAGAAAAGGATTCTCATGCATTCAAATGTTTAATATTTTTTAAACTCCCAAATTACCATTTTCTTAGTCATTTAGACAATTTATAATTAGATTAATTTTCTAAATGTAATATTGAAACCCTCTTGTTTGCTCCAATAGATTATTGCAAATTTATGGCTGTATTCTATTATTCTATATTCAAACGAAAAGGTAGAGGTTTCTATTTGGTAGATAAAAATATATGGTCTCATTTAATTTTATTGATTTGTTGGAGAAGGGAATGGATAATTTTTATATTTTAAGATGAAGAGAGATATTTATATAAATAAAATAATTAAAAAACCTTTTTTCCTATACCAATAAAATGATTATTGGTTTTGGGTAATTTTTGTCAAATAGAATTTAAGAGAAAAGGACGATAAATAAAATAAGAAAAGTTTTAAATGAATTTTAATAATTTAAGCAATTCTGTCGCCCAACTTAACAGTGAAGTGGTATTTTGGCGAATAAAAGCTTGAGGAGGTATTTATCAGTTATCACTCACCCTCACCCTAAAGCCGTTATCTTGGCCCGTCACGTTAATATCAAAATACCCACCCTTTTTCACCAGCAGTCAAAGCTATTATTAGGTAATACATCTACCAAATATGCACTTGTTGACTAAAAAAATCACTTATAACTACTTATTTATCCAATAACCACCAGGGCTTTAAAGAAAGGAGGGGAGAAGACATGGGAGTACGGAGACTAGACTAGTAGACTACTACTAGAGTTTGAATTAAAAAAAAAAAAAGAATAAAGTGTTGGAATCCATGCATGTAATGTAAAATGTAAATATAAATAGAGAAACAGGACCATAGCATTCATTTCAGCATATTGAATGTGAAAAGAAAAAGTCGCACCACTCTCTCTCTCTGCTCTCTGCTCTCTGCTCTCTGCTCTCTGCTCTCTCACTCCCTCTCTTATTAGACTAGTTTTACTCTACTCTCGTACCTGCTGAAACGCCGTCTTCGAGGAAAGTAGTACATCAGGTGGTTGGCAGATGGAAAACCATCGTCAAGCCAACGCCATCCTAATATTCGTTTTTACATTTGCATCTCAGCTCTGAGCTCACCTCAACTCTCTCTCTCTCTCTCTGCTCACCCGATTGACCTCCTTCCTCTCCTTCTCTGTATAAACCCCTAATAAACGTCTTCTTTTTCTTCTCTTCTCTCTTTCTTCTGATTGCAGGGAAGATTCTACTTCAGAGTTTATTCTTTGATCCTTTTCGTCTTCTTTGCTTTCTCTTCCTTTTTCTTTTCTTCTTCTTTGTGTCTTTGTGTCTTTGTGCGGGTGCAGAATCTTCAGATCCGTCGTATTTTTCTTATACATAAGGCTGAACTCTCTCCACAAAGAATCTCTCTTCTCTCATTTGTATTCGAGCCAAGTACCCGAACCTCGCCCATTTGTTCATTTATTTCTCTCTATTCTTGTCTTATGTTGGTGAACGTCCAAGGGATTGAAGTCCAACGGGATCGTCGCTGTCTATTAATGTTGGAGAATCCTCAACTCTAGGGATTTTTTTTTTTTTTTTTCTATCTTTTGGTAAACCTAATCTAGGGATCTAAACTAGGAGCGCAGGAGATATTATTATATCTCAATAACAGTTTCACGAAAAGAGAGAGAGAAAAGAAACGCCACAGTTCCGTAAATGCGATAGATGATCTAGATTTGCAGCTTACTTTTGCATTGCTCGGAAGAGATCATTATTAATTAAGCATCAGAGAAGTAAAACCGATAAAGAGAAAACAGTTCATCCGTTTTATTGCGAAAGCACTCGAGCATAATTGCTGCGGTTTTACAGTAGATTGATAGCTTTTGGCAGTTGGTACTGTGAAGGTCTCTCTTAAGAAACAGAAACTGTCGTGGAACAAGGAGAAACGTAGATTGCACACATATTATTTGTAGGTCTGCTGGGTGTATCAGGTCGGTTCCAGGAGAGGTGATCGACTCTGAGAAGAGATGGGGAACTGCCAGGCAGCAGAGGCAGCGACGGTGGTGATTCAACATCCTCGAAGCAAGATAGAGAGGATCTACTGGTCCGTAAGTGCACACGAGGTCATGACCTCCAACCCCGGTCACTACGTCGCTCTCGTCATCCCCTCTCCCACTCTCAAGACCGAGAACGGGATTCCGGTAAGGCAACTCAAGCTCCTTCGCCCTGACGACACCCTCCATATCGGCCAGGTTTATCGACTCATCAGTTTCGAAGGTAATATTAATTCAACACAACAAATCTACTGTAACTTGTCTTCACTTTCTTTTAACGACTATTTCGTCCTTGCTTTTTATTTTGCTTAATTACTTGAAATAGGTTCTTACAATTATTATCATTCCCTCCAATTCTACAGAGGTGTTGAAGGAGTTCGCTGCAAAGAAGAGCGTGAAATTGGGAAAGCTGCTCAAGGAGAGAGGACTCGAGTTGAGGAAAGACGGAGGATGTTCGAGGCCTCCTTCTAACTCCAATTCCAACTCCAAACCGGAGAACCCAAGTTCAGCCAAGGTAAGCTACAGCCATCTTCTTTTTTTCCTCTCTAGCTCTCGTCGTAAATTGGTTAGACCTTCCGTCGTCCGATTTGGTTTCTCGGTGGGAGCCCAAAAATTGTTGTGGGGGATCTGAGATGAGAATGTGAATATGTTTCTCGTCTTTTCCTTCTGTCCTTCGCCCTTTCTCTCTCTGGTTTCTCCATTCCCCCCACCAGAGGCATCTTTTTTTCTTTTTTACTTTTAATAAGTTAATATTTTTTTGAACCACATAAAAAATTTCCAAGCCGATGAGATCAGTCCATTAAAAATTTGAAATCCCTTATCCTTTGGACATCACACACCGTCCATATATAGTTTCCTATCTGGAATTTACACGGGGATGCACGTCTTATTTAATCTTTGCATCTCAATTCGGTGCTTCTCTGGGTGAAGCTGTTTTGGTTAAATGCAAAGCAGACGATTTTTAATCTTGACCGTCGAAGTTGGCTAATTCAACTGATTAGGTGCCATCCCCAAAATAATAGGACCTTTTCCTTTTTATATTAATACAATATAATAGAAAAAACAAAAAAAAAAAAAAAGGAAAACCATCAAGCAAGTGGAATGGATACTTTGTGCAGACAGTAGAGAAGAGAAATCTGTAGATTGGGTACGGAATTCAAGCGTGGGGATTTACTTTTAATCAAATCGACAGCCATTAATCCGCAGGTTGGAGATACTATTGAATTTTGTATTTCCTAATCTCTATTAATTAATTAATTAATTACAAGTGCGATTTTTTTGCTCAAACAAAACTGATATCGATATTATTATTAAAAAAATAGTAATGATTGCAACGGAATGTAGAGATTTTGCAAAGTCTTTGTTTTAATGTAATGGTGTTTTTGTTAATTATAAAGTAAACTAGTCATTAAGATAAACGGAGAAGTACGGATAAAACACTGCATCTTTGTCAACGTTCACGTGGATCAATGATCGATCGAACAGACCCTCAGACCATCTGAAAATTAGAATGGAGCACTGCGCACAGGACACGTTTGTCAATTGTGTAGTTCATGTCATTGTCATATTAGAGAGAGAGAGAGATAGAAAGAGCACATAAAGCTACTACAGTGTTTGCCTTTTGTTTTTCCGGTTGAGGGAATAGTGGTAGAGGTGAAACTTGGATGGATTCCGAATTCATGCAATTTGTTTATTATTTGGTATAATCATGGTTTTCAGGTGGAGCAGATGGTTCACCGACCGAGCAGCAGCAGAGGAGCGGGGAGGCATCATGGTGGTGGTGGGCAATGGAAGCCAGCATTACAGAGCATCGCAGAGGTTGGGAGTTGAAACTCTTCCCTACTTCCCACGCCCTTTCCGCTCTCTACCCACACACCCCCTCCACCATTACAATAAAAATGAAATCTCTTTTTAGTTTTTACTTCTTTTTGCGGCCTTATCTTTTTTCATCTCTACCTTCTTATTTCTTTTCTTCTTTTTAATATATATATATATATTATCTGATTCTGATCTGAACACCCCCTAGCCCTAGTGTTCGTCTTTATCCTCCTCTTTGGATGGATCGTAAAAAGGAAGTATTATAAAATTTGTCTGATATTACAGTATTTTATTTAATCCGTGGGTTTAGTGGAAAATTAATCTGGTATTTACTGAAAATGAATTGAAGCGATTCGTTTTCTTTCATGTGTTTCCCAAAATCCCCCCCCCCCCCTAGTGTTGTCAAACACAATTCCTAGAAAAGAAAACACTTCGTAAAAGTATAGAACCTTTACAATTATACAATCTCAAGATGTAGCTGAACTTGATCGTTCTTGTCTAGTACTTAAATTTGAGAAGTAATTTCCAGGATTTTGAGTGAATCCTCCACCTATTGATGACATGTGAAATGAGCAACTTTGATTTTCACTTCATCTCAAACGAGGGAGAGAATGGGGGTTTATACTTTATAGATTTGGGTGAGGAGATTCAGGACTCAGGAGAGGAAAATGTTGTGTTTTTTCTTTAAATGGTCACTTCAAACACTTGTGTCATCTGCGCTCTGTGAGACAGCTGGTGTGTTACTATTAGATATGAGATGATCGGTCCAGCGGATCCAGAGTGTCAATGATATCAACCCATCCTCAACGAACGGTCTCCGCTTTAATTTCTTCTTTATTTTTTGGTAAACGCGCTTTAATTTCAGTTTCAGTGTGGCGCATGTTTCTGTAGGACAAACAACAAGCAAATAGCAAGTTGGGCTGAAAAAGTGGTTTGTTCATCCCCTCAAAAAAAAAAAAAAAAAAAGAAACTTAAAGAAGGAAAGGACTACAGAAGGTACCTCCTGAATTAATTTCTATAGGGGACGTTAATTATTGATTAAAAATTGCAGCTCAAGGTCTTATGGTTTTAGGCTCCATCTTCTTTCCTCCCCTCTTCAGGAATGAGTGGGACCTCAATAAGTAGCCACTGACGCTGAAGGAGTACGTGATGGTGATGCATCACAATCGTCTCTCCCCTGGACCTGGACCCGGACCCGGACCCATGCTGCTGTACAATCTCTAATTGACTTTGCAACTTATTAAGTATTACCATTGTTTTCAAGACCGGATCAGACCTGACTGTTGGATCGGAAAAATCGGGAATTGATCATCTAGCTGGTTTCATTTAACCCCAAAACTGTTGATCCGGGTGATTGAACTGTCAAACTATTTGACCCAAGAATGTTTTTGGCCGTTTTTAATGTTTATGTCAGAATGAACTATCCATTCAGATTGAACGGTTGGACCATTCAACCCGGGAACCAGACCCAACATGGTTCCCTGTCTGATCTGGTTTTAAAAACCTTAAGTATTACCACGCTCGGTGAAATCATCCCATAACCCCCCCCCCCCCTCTCTCCATTTTCTTAATAAAGCCCCATTACGTCAATTCATTTACCATCCATAGAACAAAAGTATTGACATGAATATGCAAAAATTACGTATCGTGCAATTTAAAGGGACGATGCTCATGGTAATTAATTGTTTCAGGCAATGAACTAAAAAAAAAAAAAAAATTCAGGCAATGGAGTCAGGAAACTTCTCTTGGAGGGTTTACCTGGTTGCTTGTTTGGGTAGTTGGATAATTCAAAAGCGGGTTGATTATGACCCGGTTTTATCATCAACATTTGAACCGAACCACCTCTAATCTAAGAAGGGTTTTACCAATATGTTATTTGAATCTTATTTTTGACATTCACACAATTCTCTTTGCTCATTTAAGAGGTGTTCTATATATCTTTAATAATCATGGGGTCTTTTCGTATAATTAATTAATCAAATACATGTATTATTAATATTAATACTACAAAAAATTCTCCTTCGTTGATAATTTATCCACTTTCCTGTGTATTCTGATGGACCCACTTATATCTGAAACTTTGATCATGAGTAAAGTGATTGAACAATTGATTATCAATTATTAGTTGTGCACTTAAGTGTGCTTTCTTGACTATTTTGAACCTTCAAAACTTTCATAATGATAAAGAAGAAATTTCTTGGTCTAATGGTAAAATCTTGAACTGACAAAGTTTGAGAAGGCAAGGATTTAAGTGTAAAGCAAGTCACTTTGTGCATAAAATGACAAAAATTAGGATTGGATCCAATCCATCCCTCCAAGACCCTAGAGAAACTAATAAGCTCATTTTTGTTAAGATTAACTCAGGGTTAAAATTGAGGATCATAATCTTTCATGTATTGACGTTCAGCTAATTCAAGGTGGGGCTACATAGGGGTGCACCTTAGGCGGATCCAACCCAAGCCCAAACCAATCGAATCCATAGTTTTAGACGAGTTGGGCTTGAATTTTCACTCCTTGGGCTGGGTCCAAGCCTAACTCTTTGGTAGCCTGAATCCAGCCTATCTATATATACATATATGTATACTGTTTTAGTAAAATATACATATGTGCACACATTTATTTATAACGAATTTTAGTATGGATTAATTGACCAACCTAATTGGACAGATCAAGCTTGACCTTGGGCTTAATCCGAACTTGACCCAACTTTAAAACATCAAATTTCTGTATGGGCTGGGCCCGAATTGGACAGATTGGATTTTACTTTGGACTTAATCCGAGCTTGAGCCGTAGGTCCAATTCTTAGGATTGGACCAGTGTTTAACTTAAACCTGGTCCAGCCCACCAGACCTGCACCCGTAGGGCCACAGCATGACAACAATACTTTAATTTTATGGTTTTAGCACAATACTAAAGCCACATCGTAGCGAAAGTTGTTTGCAGATGCCCAGGACCAATATGGAGTAATAACTTTTACAATGACAAAAATACCCTCATACCCAAAATGCTCTTCACGTATTCAAGTTATTTTCCCAAGTTAAGCCAAGCAACAGAATAAGTAAAGAAAACCTTTTTTTTTTGTCTACTTTTCTGAGAAAATCATTCATTCTACGTGCACTAAAAGCAGCCCAGATATGATCCGGTACCAATATCTGACATTGATTTCTTTCATTTTTTTAATACTTGTTTTCTGTGTGGACAAGCACGCCAATGGTCAGTCGTTGGAGGATGAATGGTTGAATACTGGATATGACGACAGCCAGCCACCACAAAGGCACAAACCCATTCCCGACATTGATTCGCTTGTTTAATGGGCAAAATTCACTTTCATTAAATGTCCACGATAATGTCAATTCGTTGTATCCATTCATCATTCATGAACCTGCAAAGAATATACGTAACTTGTTTCTAAATTCATCGGCCCAAGTTGTGACTTGTGATAACAACAGATGTTAGCAGATACAGTGTTTGTACAGTGATTTATATAAACGAGATTAGGATTTGCTTTCTCCACTTGCTTAATATGCGAATTGGCGAATTGAATACTGGGTTGATCTGTAATCTGTGTGGGGATAACGAATTCGTTGTTGTGTAAACTGTAAAGAACCCCAGCAAAGGTTTCGTAAAATCTGCAGTTGTTTTGCATTGATCCATTGTAAAGATCTATTCCATGATTCCATCAAAGGGAGATTTGGGTTAATTAATGGAAAAAGATCAATTAGGGCCAGAAGTAAACCCCACCACAACAGGTACGACATACACGGTGAACGAGGCTGTGTGACTTGGCATGATTCGTGAACTTTGCATGGGGCCTGTGGTGTGTACTGTTAAGGTAACACAGCGAGCACCCATCCCCACCACCACCATCTCTGGTTTTGGCCCCTTGTACACTTTAAAAAACATATATGCTGTAAAAGAACTGTTTCTGTGTCCTGATTGATCAATAATACCCTTCTTTTCAGCTTTGCCGCCTGTCCCTTCCCCTTTTGTCTGCATGAACTTTTCGTTCAATTATCCTTTGTTTTTTTAAAACAGCACTCTACTTGTAATGTTATGTCTCTTCTGCTCTTCAAGCTTCTTTTTTTTCAAGGTGGGCTTGTAGCTTTTCATGATATTTTTTGCACACTGGAGAAGTCAAGAGGGGAGAGAGAGAGAGAGAGAGAGAGAAAAAGATGTATAGGAGGTATCTTTAACGTAGAGGAGCAATTCTTTGAATTTTCAAATAAGTCATTTCTTTTTACTTCTGTTTTTTATTGTCCCAAAGTATATATAACCAGCACAAATGAATCGTTTGATAATCCAAAAAAGCAAAAAGAAAAAGTGTATGGCATGCCTTGGCAACTGACAGAATAAGTGTCGGGCAGGCAGCGGCCTGTACAATCATCCATGCACGACTACCATGCAGAAACGGGCCTCTATCACAATACCACATTCACACTGATGCAAATATAAGCTTCCATCTTTTCATGTCGGCGGGTCGGGACAAGCTTGGGGTCGACCCCGGCTCAACTATAAGATTTAAGACCAGCCCCATGGCTCGAGGGAAACGGAGCTAACTAACGAGCCAGTCCAAACCAACCTAAACCTAGTATAGTATTACAAACCACCAAAATACAACCTAATATAATGCATCAGATTAAATGGGAAAAAAAAACCTTTAGAATAGAGTTCAATGTTAATGGGCCCCATGTCTGTTGACTCTGCTTCTTCACTTTCTAGTTTCTATTCTTTAGTTATAATAACCGCTATGTTCCATGGTAACAGTGGTACTACTCCTTGCTACACACTATGTTTTCTGAAAAGAGAACGAGAACTAGCAAATGCTTATAAAAGGTGCATGGAACAAAAGAACCCTTTTCTACTTACGGGAATAAAAGTTGATATTGTTCTATTTGATACATCAAACCTAGATGTAAGCATACCACGGAACAATTAGTAAGTAAAACCTGTAGTATCAAATTAACAGCAGAAGAAAATAAAAGATTTTACAGTTTTAGCCACTATCCAATAAAGTTGCTCCTTTTATCAAAAATCAAACATATTTGCTCTAAAATAGGAGGTTAGAATCTGATTTTGAGACACTATAGAATTAGACTATATAGCATGTACATGCACTATACCAAATGATTCTCTTGTTCCCCACCCCCCCTCCTCTTTCGCTACTTCACTTAAAAATAGATTCTATTGGGAAGGACAAATACCATGAACCAAACCTTTGGCCGCTAGACTGACGGGAACAACTTATTAAGGTTGCAAGGGAGCGAATAAAATTCTTCGCTCCTGCTATCTGTCTTGAAATTCCTAAACTTTTCCCACCAGTGAGAACCACTGTCTCTAACAACAGTACTGTCCCCACGACCAAGTGTGCAATCCAGGAAAAAAGCTACCACTGCTGCTACAGTTACATTGGACGAGAATATCACATTCATGATGTTGTTGAACTGCAGATAGTAGAAAAGAAATCAAATATAATTTCTGGCTTGACAAAGATTAAGATTAGATCAGTTTTAAGTTTCCATACCGATATGGAATGTGTGTTAACAGGACCGTGGCCAGAAACCACAACATATTCATTGAAGTACTGTTGCACTGAGAATCCCATGAAGAAAGAGAAGCCTAATATGAACTTCGTTCTAAAACTGTTGAGGTTGCAGAACTGAAGAAAACCAAGACCTGCAGAAGCTGCTTGAACAATGAAAGACCATAACCGAAGTCAAATGCTGATGGATTATCAATCATTACTACCAAGTAATTCAAATGGACGTAGTAATAAACAAATATAAATAAGAGACCGTTTTGAAGTAAAGAACTTGCTTCTCCAGTATAAGAACATACTTATAGATAAGTTCCTCACGTGTAGCAGTAATTAATTAATTATTTTTACCATCAAGTTGCTCTCGTTCCTTATAATTCCCAACTAAATGTCTTTTAGAACTTTATCATAAAAGAATATTTTTCAGACAAATTCAAAGCAATATATATTCTTTTCAGTTTCTATTCATATAAAGTTCACAGAATCCATGGATCTTAATAGTAACTGTTGAGATGCTCCAAAAACGAAATATAATGTACAATATTTTCACTACCATGCCACTCATGTCTTCCTTCATGGCTTAGTAAAACATAAAGCCACAGTCCTTAATCTTATTGGGTATTTGTTAGGGAACATTTTGAGGGGAATTATTTATTTTCATCCAAAAGTGGTGGTTTTCATGTCCTTATCATAACCACCATCCATGCCTTAATCCCAATTATATGGGGTTGGCTATGGGAATCCTGATTTGCCAATCCGTTCTATTTAAAGCCATATCAACTGTTAACTTATAGTGCTTAAACCATTTCTTACTACTTCTACCCATGCCCTTTTTAGTCTACCCCGAGCCTCTTCTAGATCCTTCAATGTGTAACAAATCACTTCTTCTAACTGGCACAATTGGTGGTCTTCTATGCACATGACCAAACCATCTTAGTCTATTCTCTCATTTTATCACCTATAGGAGCTACTCCTAGGTTCTTACGGATAACTTCATTCCTGTTCCTATCCTTCATAATTTTTCCACTCATCCATCGTAGCATTTGCATTTCTGCCACATAAATTTTCTGGACATGTTTTTTGACTGCCCAACACTCTGCCACATTCATTTTCTAGATATGTTGCTTCATGGCCTTATGGTTAGTCAAAAAATTTGGATTACCTCTTAATATATGTAGTGGAAAATACTACTATAATTCTGCTTTAGAGTAGTGTGTACAAGGCTTTAGTAAACTGGAATAGCTTGGAGTAATAAATGTGAATAAATTCAATCCCGTGATTCACAATATTAATCTTATTTGTATCAGAGCATTAGGAAATAGTCTACAAGTAAAAAATTTCAAAGGATTTAGTAATTAAGAGAGAAAAAATAAGAGTTTGCTTACTAGGAAGATGGCAAAATAAAATATATTAGGACAGCTGAAACAACATGGTATGAAATTCTTTTATTCATGCACACATTTCTTGTTAGTTCCACCACTAATATTTCAGTCACTATGTATAAGATGTTTTTATGGAATATGCACCCTATCTTATTTGCTAGGACATAACAAGATACAGAAAAACAATAATCATTTGCCTTGGCACCAAGTGTAAGTGTGCAACCAACATATGATTACCAAAAGAAAAAAGTACAACCACCATACGATTACTGAGAAAAAGTACAGCCACCATATTTCTAATTCATGTGCAATCCAGAAAACAAATAGATTTCGAAATCAAGTATGACGCACAGAAACCATATTAGCACGACACACATGCTCACACATTCACACACTCACATAGAGAAGAGGGTCATACCCACATAGGAAAAGAGGATACAGTTAAGAGCTGCTACTATTGACATTGGAATAGAAGCAAAAAGTGCTCCAAATTTTCCTGCTTATTGACATGAAGAACAACATATGATTGACAAAAAAAATGGAGGAATTTGAATTTGAATACAAAGCTGCCATTGACGATATAAAAAAATGAAACTGAAATTTTCTGTGTTCAATTATATAAGTTAGTGGTCCAGCCAACAAGGAACTCTTAGGGTGGGGAAATGGAAACTTACCTAATACAGAAAAGAAGAGCATAAAACCTGCAGATATTTGAACAACTCTTCGACTTCCAACTCGTGTTAATGCCAACAGACCCGCATTTCCACTGTACATATAACAAGAAAGAGTTAAAGCAATCTTTATAGTGAAATGAGAACTTGAACAAGCACCCCATGATGGATGTTCCTTGACGGCAGTCTCTGTTGCAGGGTTAAGCACCCTGACAAAGACACTAGAAACCATTATCTATGAATTAAGGGCCACTCCTTGGCATAATAGTAAATTCTCGGGCCAAGTGTGTAAACATGGGTTTGAGTTTAAGAGCAGCCACTTTGTAGGAAAAAAATTGCCAAAGGTTTGGTTTCCAAGACCTGATATAGCTAGGATCAACATTGGATGAACTTTAATTAATTTTGATGAATTGTTTATTGTTTTAATTAGAAACGGTAGCTTTCATTTACTGCTCTTATTACTATTGTCAAAGTGTTACTTTTATTTGGGGTTATGAAATTCTACCAAATGGATCACAGTGTCCACAACTAACAGAGTATGAACTTGGTTTTGTGCAAGAGTTGCACCTGATGGAGACCCGAGTACAGTTCCTGTGACCTTGTATATTTCGAAGTCAATTGGAGGATTTGACATCTCACTAGAAAATACTGCTAATTCAAAAGACACCTATAAAATAGAGAAAAAGTCTCAGCCATTTGAATGTTGGCTCAAGGTCTAATATAGGTTTAATTAAACTGAATGAATTCCTTGAGCATTATATTTGCAATGTTCTATCCAAAAGCAAATGTGTTTCTCACTTGTATCTCTAGACATAAAAGAATCATATCAATCTAGTCTTTACCATCTTTGAGTTGCTAACAATGAGATCAGTTTTCATAAATACCTAACAACTTGGGTTGGTGATATGGTGCTTGAAAGTGACCAATTTTTCCAATCCATCAAAAAAATTAATTACATTCTCCATTAGGAATTCACTACTTTGAAGGGATATTTCTGTTAAAAGAGTTGAGTAGGAAATGATCTCTTTGCAATTTCTGATATTCAAAGAGTTCAATGGATTTTTTCACAAAGTACAATATAAAAAAGTTGTGTGGTTAAGTTCCTAACTAATGTTGCAAGATAGAAACTCTAGAAAGGGTAGATCAATTAAGCAACTAATTTAATTAGTAGTTAAATCTATTAGCTTGGAAACTGGAGTACCTCTCTAGGATTTAGGGGGTGGTTGAAATTATATAAACATATAGCTTTCCCATATAAACCAACTCATTAGCTATTTGGAGCTGAGAGAGACAACCCTCAACCCCAGTCAGGCATGAATTCAACTGGAAGCTCAAGTCAAGATCCTCACAAGTTGCGGTCAACTTATGAATCAGAAAACCAGAGGTACTTGTTATAGTTCTTATATCAGATCTAGAAATTCATATAAGCAATCTTGGTGAGAATTCATCATAGTCATTGAATTGATTTTCACATGAGAATTTGAATTTTAAAGTTCTGATTTTGAATTTATAACACTTTCAAAGAATAAGTTCAGATAGCTTCCTCTGTTTTTAAGTTCATTACACTGAAGCAGTGGAGCCATTCCCTGTGCCAAACATTCCATCCAGCAGTATTCCTATTCCCTGAAACCGAGATAATTACATTAGAGATCAAGAGGGTAAATACTTTGAGAACATAGAATTTATAGAATCACAGTAAGACATCATGGTAAACACAGGCACCTGCCAACCAACTCCACGGCTGAGAACAGAAGGCGGTACAGGTGTTGCACTCCCATACCTTGAGACAGCAATAAATGTACCAGTAGACTGCAAACAAAGAAGAAATAAATCTACAAAGAAAATATGTTGAATATAGAGATAATGAATTTTTTTGGAGAGAGGGAGAGAGAGAGAGATTCCCATCTTGGAAGAATATTCAGGTCATTAATACAATAAACATAGAACGAGTTAATATTGAACCATTCCATCTCTAATTTGTTTTTGGTAGGAAATGTGTAAAAAGTTGGCAATGACCACATGAGCTACTATAGACTATAGACATTTTAAGGCCTAAAACAAGCCAACCTCAATGAGAGCAGCAAAAGAAGCTGCCATCATTGCCAAAGCCTCTCCAACTTCAAAGGTTGGTGCACCCCATTGAAATGGATATGGAACCCTTATCCTGCAAGTAACAAAGAAATGTGAGATGGAATTTTTCTCTTTTTTTTTGAAAAAAAAAAACAAGATTCAAGGGTTTAAGGATGCCAAAACATCAAAGGAGAAGATGGGACCAAAAAAAAAATGGTTTGGAACATTAATTTACAATAGTGAAACAAAAAGGCAGAGACCCAAAAGGAAAAGTTGCACCAGATGTAAATTGTATGTTGTATCTATACTTGGAAGAAATGACAGGAAAAGTACTTTTTTACCAATGTGGAGGATGCCAGTTTAATTGTTCTTTAAGACCCCCCCCCCCCAACACATGAACAAAATAGAGGAAATGAAAATAAGTCTTGTTCAGACCTTCTGCACATAGGCCATAGAAGCATTTAAACAGAACAGCTCAAATGAGACATGATCCAAAGAAAATCAACTAAAGTAGATCATCCAAGTGGCCACTCTTTCTTCCAACCATTTTAGAATAATCTGACAAGCATCCAACTTGCCTCTTCAACTGATGGTTAAACAGATCAACATAAACTTTGGTTCTATGGTCTACCAACTGACAACATTGATCAGTAGCTATAATACCCAGATACATGTAGGTCCTGTACATGCCTAGCATACCAGTATTGGATACTGCATGGATACTTCTAGATGTGCTCTATAGCATTAACACTACCAGCGTATCAGCCTGTATCGGTGTTTTTTTGTTTTTTTTTCAAATCTGGTTCAGAGGGATCGGTTTAAGGCCCAGGTACCCTCTGCACCATGGTCTGACCCGAAACACCCCTGTAGGGGCATATCGGGAAGGCCACAATACGATACATATCGGCCGATACAGGCCGATATGTAACGATATTTTGAACCTTAGTTTTAACAGATTATATTATAATGATATCTACACATGTTAGAATTTAATAAATTTGACAAGACATAAGTCTTGGCAATGATATTTAGCTTTAAAAATTAGATATAAACACATGATATAAGCATATTACCACCCACATCTGTATCCATGTATAGAATTTTACGAAATGGAGAGCTGTATCCTCATTTCCTGTATCCATGTCTGTATCTATATCTGTATCTGGGCATCATAGATTAGTGGATGGGTAGACTGCATATAGGTCAAGGAATCAAAGGCACAACTCCCAACACTATATATTGGCTCTAATTTCTCTGAAAGTGACTGCAATCAATTAAATATGAGATGTTTGAGCCCTAAGAAGGAAAAGCAAAATATCATACCCCTTTTATATTTGTTCCAACCATTGAAATTCCATCATAACAACACGAAACAATACACAAAGAGACATACAAACTGGGTGGAGGAGAGAGAGAGAGATTATTGCTGTAGAATATAATAATTTACCCAGCTAAATATTAAATACCAAACTTCACTGATCAACATGAAACCTGTCAAAGCTGAACCATTTTGGCACAATCAGCAGCAGTCATCTAAATTTTTACACTAAAAGGAAGGGTTGGATACATCTCTGGTCAACTATGAAAAGCACCAAATTTGATGAAGACAACTCCTAGAAGTATCAAATTTTAGCGTCACAAAGATGGCTATATCATAGTTGAGAAACTAAATATGCAAGGACATTAAAAATTTTTGTTTAAAATAGAATATAATGTCTTAAGAAAAACCAAATAAGAAAACTGCAAACACAATCTGATTAAGGAGATAAGTAATTCACAAGTTTTACTTTGGTTGGAAATAAATGGAGGTGATAGCTCACCAAGGAGCTGTTCTAAGGAGTCCAGAATGATCGGTTCGACAACTGATTTGAGTTTGGAGAGGTCTGTCCTTGTATGCACCAGCTACAGTCAAAATATGTGCATAAACCCACACAACTGCAACTGAGAATGGCACCACAAATCTATCAAATACCACTCTCTTTGCTGTCACCATATTGGGGAGATACTGCAAAAGAACCACAATTTCATTCCCTCAGAAAATAACTGAAGAGAACCAAGTACACTTGGCAACATAAGGAGCACACTAGTCTGAAAACTGTTGAGAAAAAATATGGTGCACAGAAGATTCAAATCCACCATTTTATTCCTACCTATGATTTGTCCTAGACCAAAACATTGACCAAATTGGATACTCATGGATTTCATAGCTTATTGAAAATAAATAAAATCAACAGAGGATCATATCCATCCGGTCTGTGGACCTTTATTTAGCCAATTTCCATGTTTGGCATTGGTCTTTTCCAGAGATCCATCTAATAGTTTATCCTACCTCAACCTGAAAGCACTGGTCCCCATGTGACCAAAAAACATAAAAATTTGATTGTACATCACAACCCTATCTGATCACAAGTCTATTTTACTGTAAAAAGAGACAAAAAAAAGGCACAAAAGTTAATTAAATAAAGTATGTCAAGAAACAACCAATAGTCTCAATGGATGAACAGGAAAAAATAAGTTCAATTTACAACAACCAGAAAATGACAGGAAAAGGGAAACTACCAACCTGTGAGACCAAGACTAATATGACTAATTCCGGAATTCCAACTTCAGCACATTTTACCAACTGCAAGCATCAGTAGGAACACCAGTTTCCAAATGAAAAAACGAAAAGGTTTTTATAATCACTAAAATGTATAGCTTCAAGATGATGTCAATTGTCAAATAGTTGTAAAGTGAAATGTATAAATGGCATTCAAACTATGTCTAGATCATCACAGGTAAAATGTCTACAAGAGTGACATAATAATCCAATCAACTCCACATTTAGTCTCGTACATGCTATTGAGAGTGACGAAAAATAAAGAATACTCAAGCAATCAACAATGCATTTAGGCTGGTAGGGTCATGTTTTCAATGCATGGGCTCCCCACCATCACATGGCAAGTCCACTTCTGTTCACACCACAAGACAATATAATTGAACGGATCTTTAGGCAATATAAACTAATCCAATAAGCAATGTCCCGGACCAGAATAATCAGCATTGACTGATGCAGTTGAAGAGTTCTGATATCTTACTAGCGGAAAACCAAGTTGATAGAGCCCAAGCCCAGTAAGAGTTACCAAAGGGACTGCAGAAAGAGGGCTTAAAAACCTAAACAAATGAAAAAAGAAACATGAAATCATGAAGTACCCAATTGCCCGTAAATGAAGAGACAATCATATATGCTGCAGGAATCCATCATCCATGGACACACATTTGGACAACCAACCTGACAACATTTCTCCAGAAGCCCAAGAAACCAACAACAATCTGGAAAATTGAAGCACAAATAAGCGCTCCCTGTATTCCTCTCATTGTCCGTATAAACCTCTGAGAATAAGAGAAACCCAACAGAAAAAAGATATAAGAATAAAGGTATATAAAGCAAAGTTACTGAATTACAAATAGAAATGAAAAAGGGCAATGAGAACGGGAAAACAAACCTCTTGAGGGTTATCAATTGTATGATATCTATTAGCCAAGGCGATTGAGATTGTTGGAACAACAAAAGTGCATGAACCTCCAATCACGGTAGGAAGACGAGTTCCAAATAGAGATTGTAACAGTGTGTTCAATCCTGCAACGAAGAGTAACGACTGTATCACTTTGGCCTTCTCCTCCTGGCAAATAAAAAAAAAAAAAACGAAGGAGCCAAAATTAGTTGAAATTAGGAGAAACTTATCAGAAAGATTAAGATACATGAAAGCACAAAAGATATCCTCACATTGCCACCACCCATTTGAGGAACAATGATGCTGGGAATTAAGACGGTCGTGCCAAGCACCACCAAATAGTGCTGGAAACCCAGAACAATTGCTTCCGCTGCATTACGAAAAATACACATACGGAATATCAAAAAACATCAATTCTTCTATAATCTATCCAATTACAGCAAGAAATACTGAAAGGATGGGAACAGGGAAGTCCAGCCTGAAATTTAGAAAAGAAACAGAAGGTGAATAAAAAATGAAATGACTAATTTACTAAACAGTGCCAATTGAAAAAGAATAATAGAAGACTAAACGATCCGAGCCTGGAGATCCAGGATAATCGATTTAACTAAAATTGGTCATAGAAACAGAGAAACGGCTATCAACTTACACGAATTTAACAGATTGGAAACCCACGAAAATTCACTCGGATAATCTCAAATCACGATGAAAGGAAAAGTCACTGAAACCGAAGTACTATGAATTTATTGGCGAGGGGGGGGGAGGAAGAGAGAGAGAGAATGAGAGATGAAGCAGCAACACAAAAATAATATTAGAAAGAGAAACAACCGAACTCCTCAAGTGAATATGAAATAATGAAAATAGGCGGGAAACCATGCAGAGTGAATGGACGGCTGAAAGCGTTGCATAAATAGTCAATCAACGACCAGCACTTGGCGATTTACGATTTCATCGTAAAACAATAGTAAATAAACAGAGCTGACCAGAGTCTTCATATATGTCACCATCGAAAGTTAGAGAAAGAAAGAAATGAGGAAGAAGAAATGCTAAAATGTGCAGCTGATAAGAGGTGAGGAATGGTACGCACGCCAATGAGGAGGGCTGGTGATGCAGTAGTCAATCCCCGGAAGTTGCTCTTTAACCGGATGTGGCTGAAAATCGTCGTTCTTTGACGCCGGTCCGCCGACACCTCCGGCCATTTCTCTCCTCGGTGAGTTTCTCTGAGACAGAGCGAGCGAGAGAGGCGGGAGCAGAAGAAGAATATCAGCGCAAGAAGGAAGCAGAAAAAGAGAATAAAAGGTACGTAAAAGCTAAAAGGGATGGATAATCAGGTTCAGCCACCTGTTGGTGCAGGGCCTATTCTTGGGAAAGAACCAAACGACAGAGAGAGAGAGAGAGAGAGTATCAAACTTTCGGTTTCATACTCCTTATTTACGTGAAAGATGAATCGCATCTGCGCCCCAATCGTGTATTGGGATCATCTGAGATGTGTATGTGGGGCGCCTGTGGGTCTACCGGCTACAATGTGAACTCGTGAAAGATAGGGAGGTTTTATTGAAAAATAAATATATTGAGTTTATTTATTTATACAGATAATATAAATAATAAAAAAGATTAGAGTTTTAAAATTACTGTTGTTTGATGATAGCAGAAAAGGCTGAACTGAAAGGTGAAAATGACTTTTATAATTAAATAGGCTCCAAGGTCGTTTATCTGGTGAAAGGGAATTTTTTTTTTTTTGTTTTTGGTAGGGAAGGGAAATGGGTTTATTTATTTATTTATATTATTCACTTAAAGACAATAAAAATAAATGTTTTGAATTTTTGAGCCTTTGATCATTTTAGAAAACCTAACCAAACAGTCAAACACCTCCTTAAGTCAATTAATTAGGCTGCTCCAACCCTTATGAAACAACTCCTAAAACAAAATTTTCATCGCCAAAAAAGAATGAATATATAACTAAAACATTGAGGATCGGAAAACATTTTCCACTCATTTTACATTAAAAATTTAATGGAAAATCGAGTTTGTGTGAAACTTGAGTGAATGCATAACCAAAACCTGATTCCTCCCTGGAAAATTCGAAAGAATCTCCACAGAATTCCCTCAAAACATGTGTTTGTGGGTTAAGTGAGCCCAAGGTTTTCATCCCTGTTGACAGCTGGCGCGATTTCCTTCCGGAAAAGGGATTCTGAATTCGGTGGAAAATCAAAAGAGACGCCTGACTCTTGATCATATATATTAATGCATAATCAGCGTTGTGAATCGTGAGTTCGTGACCTTGTGAGTATGTGGATGAAGGCGTGACGTATCCTGATTCAGGAATCAGGAGATTAATTTCATGCACTCACGCTTTACCATAAAAAGACTTGGGTCATGCTCTTGCATGCCCCCTACTCCATCTCCATCATTACTTCTCAATTCTCATGACACATTCCTACTTTCTTCTTCTTTTCTATTTAATGAAACGAAACCTTTCACATTTTTATCAATTGAATTGAGATTAGAGCATGGACCATCAACCATGTTCGTTTTTCAAATAAAAAATAAAATTTAGGGTTCACTTTCCATCCTTGAAATCAGTGGCGGAAAGCGCGCGGAATTGTGATTACTAATTTCAACAGCAGAAACCAACAAACAAGATAGGGCCAGAACTGCTCTACGTCTACGTGGCACCCATGCTGAGAGTAAGGAGATTATTTATGGGGAAGATGAAATTTCCACTCTTACAAAAATTAAATTAAAAAAGAAATTGCCTGAAAATATTTTGCCATTTCAACATGGAAATTGGGGTAGTTTTGTATTTTTCCCACATGTGAAGTGTCGTGCTCGTGCAACCATTACCATGACTCCATGCTGCCAGACGTTTTTTGTCCGGCTACCAAATTTCCAATAGCTCTCGCCTCAACTCAAATGTTCCAAGAATTTAAAACCCAACAAGACAAAATTAGAAAATAAAAGAAGAATAATCATCCATAAATTACAATAAAAAATAAGATTTTATTTTAATAATTAGTTGTTATTACGATAGGGATGAGGAATCGAATCCTCAACGATGATACTTGGGATGGTCGAGCAAGCAACAATGACGATCAAGCTTTTGTACTTGCCCGTGAAAATGACCACTGAGCAGTGAGTACTCCCCTCGGCCTCGAACATGAATGGAGTTGGAATTATTAAAAAGAAAAAAAAAACATTGGAGGGTATTTTGGCCATTAAGAATTAAAGGTCCCTCTCCTTACCAATAATAAACAGTGAGCTAGTGCACTGCAAGTAATTTGGTCGCAAACTGTTAAGAAGTCTAATGGTTTTGGTCCTTTTGGAGTTTGGACAGCTCTAACGTCGTCGAAACTTTTTTCCGCGAGGATTAGAATTTAGAAGAGAGAGTGAGAGTGTGTGTGTGTGAGTAAAGAAATGTACGCTTAATGCTTTACCTGGAAATAGAAGCGTCTTTCGGGGAGGGTCTTTGGGACGTAACCGTTCATTCATAAATAAAAGATGAGGAGTGAAGAGGTGAAATAGAAGGAAACGATTTCGTAGCTCACTGTTCAAAGTTCAACAAGCTTCGTATTTCTTGAACGGGAAAGAAGAAAACGATTCCGTAGCCCGTAGGGCGCGTAGCTCTTCTTTATTGACATTAATTGTTCCCTTCATTCGCATGCTCTAAATGGAACAAAGTATAAGAATTGGAAACGGGCCGACTGAGTTCTAACTTGAGAGGGAGAAAAGCATAAATCTTGCCATTTCCATCGAGATATCGAAGTTAGTCACCAACCTAAACGGGCGGGTAATGGGTTTGGGTTGGTGGGTCAACCCGGAGATCTCATCTTCATGTAAGTTTTAACTTGGTGCTTAGAAAATAGGTAAGTTTGGTTTGTTCACGATTTTGGCATGGGACATCGGACGTTGCGGCAATAAATAGTCCCATGTCCGCGATCTCATTGAAGTGGAATTCTTTGATTCTTCACTTCTATACGGCCTTTGAGTTTAACAGAATATCTACGACTGATGGTCAGGGCCTCCTAATTCCGCCACAAAAGGGTGAAGTCAAAGTGGACAGCTCTTTTTCAAATGCACCACCACAAGGCTCCCAACCCGCCCGGATGGTTTCACTGTTTTTTTCTTTTAGCATTGTTGGGGTTTAGTAGGGGATGATATCACCTCCATGATTCAAAGTTTCTTTCATAACAAGAAACTCCTAAGACAATTTAATCACACAAATCTCATTTTCATTCCCAAAGCTAGCTGAACATTTCAGACCCATCAACTTAATCAATATAATCTATAAAATTCTGGCTAAGGTATTTGCCAATAGGAAGAAACCTGTCCTTCACAATCTAATCAGCCTTCATCAAGGACAGGAGCAGTAATCTTGGCAAAATAAATAATTCATAAGATAAATAACCAAAAAGGGAAAGTGAAATGGGCGGCCCTTAAAATAGACATAGCCAAAGCCTCTGATAAGATGAACTGGAAATGGAAATTTATAATTGAAACCATGAAAATAATGGGTTTCCTCGACGGTTGGTGCAAGTTAAACCGGTAGTGCATTTCCACGACTTCTTTCTTTGTTAAACTAAATGGCTCTATTCATGAAATCCCCACCACTAAAAGAGGTTTAAGGCAAGGAAATTCTCTCTCCTCTTACCTTTTTATTATTGATATGCAAACCACCCTCTCATCTTTGTTAAACAGGGAAGAACTCAGGAAGTTTTTTGGGATCAAGATTACCAGGGATGTCAAGTCTCTTACTCATCTCTTATTTCCCGATAATTGCTTCATTCTCTGTAACATGGATCCAGAATCTCTTCTCAACATCAAGTCCACATTTAATCTGTTTGAAGAGATTTCAGATCAACGCATCAATTATGGGAAGTCTGGCATCATGTTCAACAAGAATACGAATAGGACTCATCAAAAGCTTTTAAGTAAATTATTGGGCATGAAGATCGTGAACTACAACTTCAAATATCTATGCACATGGTGTATTGACTTAGAATGAGGGAAGATAGCCACGTACAAGAATATAGTAGAAAAAGTGGCAAGCAAAATGGACACCTAGCAAGCAAAGACCTTATCTCAATGCAAACAAACCTTTCATATATAGAGCATCCCTCTTTATACAATGCAAACAAGCCTTACACGTCGTACCACATGTGTAAAATTGGGTAGGGGTGCAAATGGATCTGATCAAGATCCAATCTTATTTGGTTGAATTCGAATCACCTTTGGTTGAATCTTCGGATCAGGTCTTATGGTGCAATCAGAAATCATATCAGATTCGAATCACCCCTTATCGGATCCGATGTGTTATATATTTACAAATACAAATATATATATATATATATGTTATTTATTTATTTATAAATATATCATTTATATTGTATTTTTATAAATTTGTTATATTATTTATTTTTTTATAAAAACATATATATATATAATGAAAATAATTAAAAATACTTGTATTTCTGCTTTTCTTTATTTATTAAATTTGTATATTTTATTTCTTTAATAATTTATTAATTTTTAAAGAAAACAAATCGGATCAAATCAAATGCCATAGGATTTGAATTCAGATCGAGTCCTATCAGATCTGATCAAATATTTGGATTGGATCGAATCAGATCCGACATAAACAGTGTCAAATTGGATTCGAATACCGTTGCATCCCTAAAATTGGACAAGCTAAAAAAAAAATTTTGGTGGCATGGCAGTGAGGAAAAAGCTAGTGGCTGCAAGTTGAAACGGAATATCATTTGTTGCTCCAAAGTTGATGGTGGTCTTGGATTGAGGCGTTTCCATCCTATGAACAAAGCTATCTTCCTGAAATCAATTTGAAAACTTGTCAGCAATAATGCCAATTTGTAGTCACAACAAAATAACCTCAAGATATCTAAAAGGCAAATGCTTCTTCGACTTAAAAGCAAAGCCCTCAGATTCTCCATATGGTGGTGGAAATGTGTCATCAAGTAAAATGGATGAAGTGAACTCTTCTAGAAAGTGGGTAATGGTGAACAAATTCAAACCTACATGGACCCTTGGGTCCCTTCGTTACCAAGCCGCAGCATACCCACCCAAAGGAGTTCAGTCCAACCAGTCCCCCATCTCAAGGTATGTGACTTCATCACCAGCACTAATATGTGGAACTGTATTCTTATATAGCAAATGTTCGATGAAAATAGTGTAGCAGCTATTCTCAACATCCCCCACCCTACAAAGGGACAAGATCCTATGGAAACCTTCAAAGAACAGAGAACTTTCTATCAACTCAGCCTATCGTGTTCTTTTCCATGAGCAGGCTCAAAGCGAAGTCGGCATTGTATTAAATGGTCTAGGCTTTGTTTCATTCCGTGCCCTCGCTGTTGTCTACTCTTTATGGGGAAATTTCTTCATAATGCAGTCAAAACTAAAACAACTATCTAGAGCTGTAGAAGGAGAGATAATGTTTGGTAAATGTTCTAC